CAAGAATATATGCAAGTTTTGCCACTGATTTGAACAGCAAACTACTTTTTAAAATTACAAGTAATATATTTTTTGTGTCTATTAACATGAATAATTCCTATTAATTTTAACTATAACAGTAAATGTTTTAATATATTAAATTTGTTTTTAAATATGACAAAATTACTTCACTGAAGGATTCAGAGCGTCCAGCACAGCACTGATGTTACCATTCTTTGATTCTAGAAGACAGGCAAGCCAACCTCCTTCATTAGTAAATCCCATATTCAGCATTTGACTGAGAGCAATAGCAACTTTTGGATCTGTAACAAAAGGAAAAAGATTTGTGAAATCTATTGCTTAAAAAAATAATAATAGATGCATAAGTAATTACATAAGTTTTAAGGTTTTGAATACTCAATGGTTTATAGATATTGAAAAAAATTACCCGTTAAATTCTTTACTTTGTCTCATTAATTTAAATTAAATGAAATATTTTACTACTTCTTTCAGTTTTAAGGCTTAATGTATGTGTTGTTATATTTATTTAATATTTTTAAAAATAATTATCTATTTTTTTTAATGTAAAATGACAAACTAGATTCACAATACATTATGCTAAACAAGTAAATTCAAGAACTTCTAGAAGTAGAATATAAAAAATTAAAAGTAATTTAAAAACGAATTAATTTTAGGCTATATTATAATAAATAAAAAGTAAATATAAACTAGTTTAAAATAATCCATTTGCTATAATTTTTTAAAATTAAAATAACCATATGCACTGTATTGTACATTTCAAATTTTATCATAATGTAATTTTATAATCAAAATGATTAAAATTATACATAGATATTACTTTTAAGAAAAAGAATATGTAAAATATCAGTAAATATTAACCTGGATGTAAATCTTCAGGAGAAACTTTTAGATATGTACTTGATGTCCCTTCAATAGCTGCAGCTTGAGCCCCTTCTGGAATTGATGTTTTATGATTGTTTCCAATGTCTCCATCACTAACCACAGTCCATTCATTCTCTGCTTCAGGTGTTTCCTACAAAATATAATTTACCAAATTTTTATCTTTAAAAATATATTAATCACTAGCTATTTCATAAGAAATTTCTAGATTGTTTTTTTAAATAATACTTTAGATGTTTTTACAATGTTATCACTATCATTTGAATTGTTTCAGTTTTAAATTACCATAGTTACTCACATATAAGATGAGGTTTTTATTCCTTTTTCACTGCTTTAAAAACCTAGGTTGTCGTATATGTGAGAGTAAAGAATTCTTTGTATTTTGGAATAATTTTTGTAAACAATGTATTTGCATTTTTTATCATGCTATGGTGTTCAAAAACAAAAGTATTTTATCTGAGTCCTTTAAATCGTTCTTGTGTATTGTCAGGAGTAAAGATGAATAGCAATAGGAAAAGCAAAGCCTTTGAATTGAATTCAAAGTTGAAATTCCAAAATCACACAGGAGCCTGATATTAGTTTTAATCCATTCCCATGTGAAAACAGATGATTATTTGGAAATCAGAAAAACTCATAAGTGTAATCGACAGACAGTGGATTCAACTGTTAAGAATTGGCAAAAAAGGTTCCTGATTGTCCAGTTTTACATGAACAAATTATGTTGTCGATTTTACAAGATTCTTCCTTAAAGTTTAAAATGCCAGTAATTTTTGAGGGACAATGTGTGCATTTACATGCATTTGATATTTTATTTGTGATTAAACTAAATAAAATTAGAATTGTATTAATAAATCTAATTTTCTTTATTTTGATCTTTAAAGTCACACCTTATCCTANAAAAGGTTTGCAGAAACAAAAATAGAAAATATCTTCCTGTGCAAATTTTGTAAGTCTTAATGGGGAAGACATTAAATACAAACAAAACCTTTTATCCAGTAACAGAACTTCAATGAAAATTCTGAACATTTTTGGCCTTCACCAAGGTCTGCCTCAGGTATGGAAACATTTCTTTGCTGTAAATTTTGCTGGACTAATGGAATTCTATAAAGTAAATTATCACCATGTTTGCTTTTCTAATTTATTTTAAAATAAAAATTATTCAACTGCATAGCATTTGATTCTGTGTTAAATATGTAGAGAATATATATCACCTTATTTGCTTCATAACACATGGGAATATTATATAATTATAATTTATACAGATTAACCCCAAATGCTTATAAAGATGTTTACAGATAAAATATAAAACATAAATTTACTTAATCACCTTATTTTTGCTGAGAAATACAAATAAACATTTCTGAGTAAGAATAAGGTGATTGTTAACTATTTCTCACTGCTGGGTGTGTTAGTTAGCCATAAAATAAACAACATTTACCCTTTCATTAACACTATTGGTAGTTTCATCTCCAGCTGAAGGTTCATTTTCTGGAAGGGGTGCAGATGGTACTGCAGAAGATTCTGATGTTGCAGCTGTTTCATTCATAACTGTTTTCACTTTAGTAGAATTATTTTCTTGAGGTGGCGATGCTTTGTCATTATTCTGTTGTAGCTGTTCTTCTGTAACATCAACATTTTGATTTTTTTTAGGTGAAGAATTTGGTTCAGTAGCAATATTCTCCTTTGGAGATTCTTGTTTGTCATTACCATTTATAATATCTATATTTAATTGGA